GTTTTATTTTATATTTGAGAGAGCGAGAAAATGGGGGAGGGGCAGAGAGAGATGGAGACAGAATCTGAAGCAGGCTCCATGCTCCAGGCTCCGAGCTGTCAGCACAGAGCCCGATGGAGAGCTCGAACTCAGGAGCAATGAGATCAAGAACTGAAGCAAAGTTTGACGCTTAACTGACTGTGAGCCACTTAGGCGTCACATTCCCTGTAACATTTAACAGTCTTAAAGGAGTCCTATAGAAGCTAGGGTGATCCTTGTAAAATATAAATCATGTTAATCCTCATCAGGATCTTTTAATGACTTCCTTTCACACTTAAATATATTGCATTTTTCCCTATGGCCTGCAAATTTGTAATAGACCTATTCTCTGGCTTTTTCTCTTTTCTCATTTTTTAGCACTCTTCCTCTCACTCATTCAGGTCCAGTCATTTGTCCTTCCTTTTCCTCACATATGCCAATCCTGTTCACAGTGTCTAACAGCCAGGAGTCTTCCATGAGAAATTGGTACTTTCAAGTGTTTCACTGGCTACTGGGATCCCCAATAAATGCAGTGTCCTGCTTTGTTTTGTATATCTAGGCTTTGAGAAACAGGAGCTATTTCTTTTGTTTGATTAAATGGGCCTCAAGGATGAGAATTCTTGTCCGGTTGATTATTTATCTGTTAAAAAAATTGTTTTTAATGTTTCTTATTTTTGAGAGAGAGAGAGAGCACAAGTAGGAGAGGGGCAGAGAGAGAGGGAGACACAGAATCTGAAGCAGGCTCCAGGCTCTGAGCTGTCAGCACAGAGCCCGACGTGGGGTCCAACTCATGGGCTGAGAGATCATGAGCTGAGCCAAAGTCGGAGGTTTAATCAACTGAGCCACCCAGGCACCCTGTTAATTATGTATCTTAATGTAACTAGTACTTACGTTAAGCTTTGTTCAGCCTGTATATTTCTTGTGGGATAACAAGCAAAATTTCATTTAAAAAATCTTTTAAGTTTATTTTTGAGAGAGAGCAAGTGAGGGAGGGGCAAAGAGAGAAAGGAGAGAAAGAGAATCCCAAGCAGACTCCACACTGACAGAGTGGAGCCTGATGCAGGGCTAAAACTCATGAACTGCTGCATCATGACCTGAGCTGAAATCAAGAGTTAGACATTTACCCAGATGCTTGAGCAACTGAGCCACCTAGGCACCCCACTAGCAAAATTTCAAATTCAAATTAGATGCTTTGTTAGAAATTGCCATCTCTGAAAAAGCTTTAAATCTCAAGTGCATTTTCAAATAAGGATAAAAAATTTGTTTTCAATAAACAATAGATACATGTGCTTCAAAACTCAAAATATATAAAAAATATGCTTTGAAAAGTTGTGTTTCTGTCTTCTAGCTACCCAGTTATGATTTTCATAGAAGATCAATGGAAGATATTTTTTATACTCATAAATTTTAAAAAATACATTAGTGATAGCCTAATGTATTTATTCTTTGTCACTTAGGTATTTTCACTTAATTAACCTTGGAAATTCATATAAAGCTACCTCATTCTTTTTTTATAACTGCATAATGCTCTGTTGTAGGTATGTACTATAATTAATTTAGCCTCACTGATGAATAGATAGGCTGTTTCCAGACTTTGCTGCTGTAACTGTTCTTTTTTCATAGTTCCCTTGCAAGATTTAGAATAAAACTCTGTATATTAACTATGGTCGAATTAAAAAATAAAAAGAATATTATATCTCTAGAATAAAATCTTAGAAGTTGAAATGCTGGCTCAAGAGGTATGTGTATTTAAAGTATCATAAATATCACTGTCTATTCTTTATTAGAGTTGTACCAGTTTATATTCCTACCAGTAGTATTTGACTGTAGCCGTTGGCGAACTTTTCTTCTTTCAAGGGCTAGAGTAAATATTTTAGGCTTTGCAGCTCACATATGGTCCATGTCACAAGTTTTTTTTGTTTTGTTTTGTTTTTTGTATATATGTTTTGGCCTTGGGCCATAGTTCTGGCAGCTTTGGCCTGTAGCATGGCTGTCAGGCTGTTATCAAAACCTTTTGTCCTTACCAACCTGCTTGTGAACATGGTATCTCACTGCATTATTAATTTTCATTTCACTTATGAACAAAGCTCATCCTTCATGTGTCCTTTCCTGGAATGTTTGTTCAAATCCTTTTCTTTTGTACATGTATTTGGTTGTATTTTTATTGAGGCATACGAATTTTATCTGTATCCAAAATGACCCTTTGTGATATCAAATACAATAAAATCTTTTTAGCTGGTTAATCTTTAATCTCTGGTTTGGTTTGTGTCTTCTCTGTAGCAGTTTTTGGGTCACATTTGACCTGTTATTGTTTTACTCAATAAATTAGTCTTTTATTCTAGATTTTGTGTCATTTTTAGAAAGGCTTTTCCCCACTTTATTAAGACTTAAAAATAATTTTTCCATATTTTTTATATTAGTGTTTTATTTTTTATGTTTAAACTTTGAAAACATCTGGAAATTGATAGGAGTTAAGGATCTACTTTTCCCAAGTGGCTAGCCTTTTCTCTCAATACCATATCCTGAATTTAAATGTAGAGGTTTTGAAAATTGCTTGCAATATTACTTTTTAGTGTTTACTTCTCATATACTGTAAAATTTAGATTAAGCTGCTGACCACATGAAAGGCGTATTCATTCATGAAACAGTTACTGAGCATGTGCTGTATGGCGTGGTACTAAGGATCCCTGGCCTTTAGTTGCTTACAGTCTGGTAGATTTATCACACCATATGCATGTGTGTGTGCAACACCCTACACTTCTTTATTTATATTTTCTCCTTAACTTTCTATTACTGTAAGAATTTTCAAGTACACAGAACAATTGAAGGAATAGTATATTGAATATCTATAATGTAGTGCATGCTCTCTGATTCCTCCCTGCTGCTCTCTCTGTGTTATATATATACTATGTGAATGTAAGCTGTAGACATTCCTAAGATTTTAGCATCTATTGTTTGATTATTATTTAATTAAGTAAATGATGATTTTCTTGTTTTATTATTCTGTTTGTCTTTCTAGTTCTTGAGGAGGGGGAACCATAGCTATCTTTTTAATCATTTTATCCCTTGAACTTATCACAATACTTAACCACAGAGTGGTTTCCTAATAAATACATGCTGAATGAATGAGTACTTTAGGCAGTAGGAAGCTGTGGAAGGATTTCAAGGGATATAATATGGAATGATTTATGGTTTAGAAAGATAATCTAGTGTCTTTCTGGAGGGGGGCAACTTGAGGAATGCTTTTATTTAGACTTTGTATCAGTTAGGATTTGATTATAAGTAATCCAACTCAAACAAACTTAAACAAAAAAAGGAATTTATCCTGGATCATGGAATCCAGGGAATGACTTGAAGAACCAACCAGTCTCACGAATGGTTGATCTGGGCTTCAGGAACAAATAAAAACAAGGCTGTTGGTACCACCAATATTTTTAGTCTTTCCTTCATTCTGTGTTTTTATTAGGTTCAGTTTGCCTGCTCATGGATCAATTAAATGTGGTTTAGGGGTAGGGTTTGTAAGAATATGATTGCTTCCTAGATGTCCATGTAGATTTAATTAGTACAGTGTCCACAGTAAGAGATGTGGAGTGTTAGAGTGGTGCCTTGTGGAGGAGATGGATTCGAGAGATATTAAGTAGGACAGTTTACAGAATTTGTCCAGAGGGAAAGAGAATTGGACTGATTTCTCTTTTCATGAGCAAACTGCTGGCTTGCTGATGCTGTTAATCAGGTGACGGAAATACAAGAAGAGTATGCTTGGAATGGGAACATGATGAACTTGGTTTTAAAAGTACTAAGTTGGAGATCCCTAGGGACTTATAGGAGCTTGTTGAATATGGAGATTTGAATCTTGGAAGAAAGTGCTTAGGAAATTCACAGCAATGGTGAAAGCTATGGTGGTGAGTAAAATAGTCTGAGTGTATAAAATAAGAGAATTGGAATATTGAGAGCATAAACAGAGGAAGAGGAATATGAAATAAATTAATAGACTAATTAGAAAGGTAGGAAGAAGTATAGTGTCAAAGAAACCAAAGGCCTTTTATTCAGGACATATATGCCACATAGGGATTGAAAAAAATCAATTGGATTTGACCATTAGGAAATTCTTGATGATCTTAATGAGAGCAGTTCCAATGAGAAGTTGGGACCCAGGTTGCATTAAGTTTGGAGGATTAATAACTGGGAGATGAAGTAGAAATAAACCGATGTAGACTTTTTTTCTAGAGGTTTGACTGTGAAGGGAAGGTGAAATGAGAGAGCTGGGAGGTTTTTTAAATTTTATTTTGGAATGGAAGAGATGTGAGCATTGTAGTTTCAAACGGTAAATAGTTTTTAAATTTTTTCTGGCTTGGATACATTTTATTCTTTATGTTTAAATATTTAGCATTGTAAACATTAACTGCTGTGTTTATTAGAGTTAGTACAGAGATAGTGAGACTTTAAGAGCAGAGACCTGTGTTCTAATCTCAGTTCCCCAGAATAATCACTGTAGTAATTAAAATGAAGTTTTATATTCTCTTCTGTGTGTTAGTCACTGTGTTAATAGGCCTTTTATACATACTATCATTAATCCTCACCACAAATTAATCTCTAAGGTGAGTATTACACTGTTTTACAAATAAAGAAACCTGAGAGTTTACCTTTCAGGATCACATAGATTTTTAGCGATCATACTATGATTCCAGCACAGATATGTCTGTTTCTGAAGTTGGTACTCTTTTTTTTCTGCATCACATTGCCTCCTTTCTAACCTCAAATAGCTTCTCAAGTTGTAGATCCCTATTTCCTTATCTGTCACATTAGGATAGTCCTATCACACCTATATCAAATTGCTCATTGAATGCTGTGGTATTATTATCTATATTTTGTTTGAAAAGAGAAATTATATATTTGGTTAAATACCAGACAGACCTTATAAATGTGGTCATCTTTAGCACTATCGTTTGTCTAAACAGTATTTTACTTTTTAAGGTGGTGGTATCATGGATACAGAAATGTCTGAAGATATAGACCACAACTTAACTCCTACTCTTGACAGCATGTCTTATGGAATGCCGAATCAAACAGGATCTGAAAATTCATTGCTGGATGAAGATGATTATTTTTTGAACTCTGGGGATCTTGCAGGAATTCCAGTCGTTGGTAGTGACAATGAGGATGAACAGGATTTTAGTTCAAAGGACAATCTTGTTTCTTCAATTCATACTGATGATAGCTTGGAAGTAGAGAGAAGAGTCACACAGCATGAATCAGACAATGAAAATGAAATACAGATTCAAAATAAATTAAAAAAAGACTTTCCTAAACAGTTTGATCAGGTTTCTGTCTTTAAATCAATACGGAAAGATTTTAGTCTAGTAAGAGAAAACAGCAAAGAGACATTTTCTGGAAAGGAGAAAAATAGAGACCTAACTTATCATGAACGTGAAAAACGATTGGATAAACCCCATAAAGAGTTGGATTCAAGGTTGAAAAGCAGTTTTTTTGATAAAGCAGGTAATAATTGTTGGAATAGAGCCACAAAACACAATAAATAACTACGTACTGATAATAATATAGTTTTTATTAGTTCTGATTCTAAGCAAAATATGAACAGTTAAATTCATTGTAAGCTTGTCATTTTTCTTTTATCCTTGTTCTTTGCAGAGTGACTGAATTTCTCCCAGTAACTTTTGGTAATGGTAAAAATGATTGAAAAATAGTTCTAAACCTCATTTCTCCCTCCCCTGGTTGCAATATTTTGATGAGAAGGCAAGATACTCAAGTCACCTGTTCATTTTCTTTGGTTGAACATTGGAACCTCAAGTTGGATTTAACTTCTTTGTGCTGTAAGCACTAATTCAAACTGCTGTCCCACCAATTAGTCCAAATTAGGGAGGGTTTTTCTATTTGATAACATTTCTCTTTTATGTTCTAGAGGTTTCTGGAGGCCCTTCTTGAGCCTCTTTGCCCAGAGAACCCTATACTTTAGCTTCAGTTCCATTCTTGAATATGTCACATATTTTCTTGTTTCTTTGCCTTCTTTTACCTCTGCTCTTCCGTTTGTCTGCATGTCCTTTTCTTTCTTTGTGTATATGCCTATAAAGTACTTCTTATCCAACAATGCCTAACACATAAACCTCTTCTACTCTGTAGTCATCTCTAACCTCTCTACCTGAAGAATGAATTGTTTCCTTCTCTATATTTACATAACATTTTGTTCATACCTCATTATTTATAGTACTTACATTACTTATTATACTTCTATATTTGTTTTGTTGTACCTACCAGTGTAGTTTATTGAGGGCCAGGTTGTATCATATTCATCTTTGCATTCTTAGGGCCTAACTTGGTGCAGTGAAAATTGTAATATTTCAATAAATGCTCAATAGATGTGAAGGAAAGCAAGGTGCCATATATCAACCCTTACATTTCTTCTGTCAATGCTGGAAAAATATAGTAGAAAGACTAGGTCAGTATTATTAAAAAGAGCAATTAATTTACATATCCATTATGTACCAGGCTGAACAGGGTATACTATATTTTTAAATATATATTATTAAATTTATATTTTTGATATCTCTATGGGGGATAAATTATGAGGGCATTTATGCCCAAGGAGCATAATATCTAATAGTAGAAGGGAAAAGTCAAGTAGTAGAAGTATCAATGACCAGTTAAATAGTGTAAGATTTAATTTATAATTAAATACAGTGGTAGAAGAATTTGTCATAGGCCATACAAGAAGATTTCTTTCAGGTAACTGAAACAGTGTATTTTAGGTATTCTTAGAAAAGAGCTGCTTTTTAACTCAGTGGCCAGGGAAGGTTTATAGAGGAGAGGTGAATTTTGAACTGAGCAGAATCAGAAGTCTGTATAGAGATAGATAGATAGATAGATAGATAGATAGATAGATAGATAGATAGATGGATGGATAGAGGGGTCTTGGAATGATATAAGCAGAAATGGGGAGGAATAAACACAAGTAATTTGCAGAGTATAGTGAATAAGGTAACCACATTATTTAGGTTTGAGCAAGGAAATGTGTAAGGTGAGGCTAAAAGGAAAGTGGGGCTAGACTTTTGTTTGAGTGAAACTATCTTTTGGGTATTTTTGGGGACCCACTTCACTCTAATAAGCATCTTTATTTGACAAGAGAGGTGATTATCGAATGATAGCTTTTTAGGTCACTCTTTATAAGATTTGTTATTCATATACATGTGTTTGTTTTGTTTTTTTTTTCTTTCAATAGCTAATCAAGTTGAAGAAACATTACATACCCATTTACCACAAACCCCAGAAACAAACTTTAGGGTAAGTTTTCAGTGTGTATGCAGACTGCTGTAACTGTGGCAAGTGTCAAAGTTTTCTCTGTGTCATTTTCTAAACTGTAACTATATGTGTTAGGTAGAGCACGGATTGTTTTTTTAATTTGCTTTATTATTTGGTAAGGACATCTTTGAAGATGTTCTGAGAAGCCTCAGCTCTTAGTTTCTTTATTTGTATTTGATATTTAGACATAGACCAATTTACTTTTAGGCATAGGGACTCTAATGCGTATCCATAGAGTTCTTCATTTCCAGTGAGCTTATCTTTGGGTGTTAACACCTGAAGAGGAGTAATCTTTAAATCTGAATATTTATTAATACTTTATATTGTGTTTTAGGATTCCAGCTATCCATTTGCCAATAAAGAATCCATTGGTTCGGAACTGGGGAATTCCTTTGCATCAAATATTAGAATTAAAGAAGAACCTTTGGATGATGAGTATGACAAAGCAATGGCACCACAGCAGGGACTACTAGACAAAATTAAAGATGAACCTGACAATGCTCAAGTAAACATTTCACCTTTACTTACCCCCCCTTCTTTTCTGTTCCACACGTGAATTCTTCATTTGAGAGAGGAAATTCTTGATTAAGAAGTGAAGTAGTTTGTTGACAGTATGAGAGGAGACTTCATGAAGGTTAAGGCAATTTGAATTATCTTCTGAGAGTAATGCTAAGGAATCAAGAGTTACATGAAGCTTCTCCTGAGTAGTAATTTAGGCTTTTAATCCTCTTTGTTCCTTAATGTCACTGTTCTATGATTTTTACAATTTCAGTGCAGGATTAGGGAAGGGGAGTCTTCAAGGATTTGAGATTGATGCAGCAGACATGGCTGAAGGTTTATGGTTTTTATGAGTTTATGTTGTGATTGAGTTTATACAAGGTAGTAAGCCTTGCGCAATTACTGATAATGAAGTACACACCGTGTGTGGATTTAAGTTTCTTGGGGGAGGAAGTAATGGACAGGTTATCTTTGAAAGGGTTAATTGATTGAAGAACTAGTTCATTTGATCAATGGGTAGAAGGTAAAGGAGGCTTTGATGGGTGAAATGGGATTCCAAATTTGAGATCTGTAATTAATAGGGAGGACCCAGCTCTGCTATTGAAGATTGCTCTGGAGGAAAAATTTACAGAGATCCTGTAACTGAAGTTCTGAAATCAGTGAAGATATCTATGCAGTTAATGACATTACAGTAGTTGGGATGTAAGAAAAAAGTTATGTGCTGTAATAAGTTTGGAGTGTACAAAGGGAAGTGAGGGATGAATACACAAAATCAATTATTTGAGGGTGGTCTATGTTTTATACAAAGGGCATGAATTCAGAGGCTGAGAAGTAAAGATACCATGAATTAGCTATTTCTCGACATGATAGTTGATCTAAAGACAAGTTCCCTTTCCATATGTTTCTATTATTTTGGGGAGCTGAATGTGTGAGACTTCTGTGGAAGAGATTTTTTTATTCACATGTCTCTGAGCACGGTTTCCCAACTTTGGCACTATTGACATTTTGGTCCAGATAATTCTTTGTTGTGAGAGGCTGTCCTATGCAGTGTAGTACATTTGTTTAGCAACATCCTTGGCCTCCACCTTCTTGGTACCAGTAGTATCTCCACCCTCCCAAGTGTCTGCAGACATTGCCATATGTCCCCTGGGGGGTGGGCAAAATTGTCTGCTGTTGAGAACCACCTGTTTTACAATAAGGAGATGTAAGAATAGATGTTTTGTATGAGTCACATTGATGTTCACTTAATTTCTTGGTGCTCAGTGGAAGGTAGCAGTATAGAGTAGTGATGATAAAGCTGTAGGAACTGGATGGTTATGAGTGTGAAGGTAACAAAGAAGATGGCAGAGCAGGAATATGAAAATAGTTAAATACAAGGTAGATTGAAAGCATGTTAACAGAAGCACGCAAAATGGAGATCTTGATTGTTGGTATTAGGGATAAAGAAATATCTTGGTAACCTAGGGAAAGTTCATGCCTCAGAAGACTACAAACACATCCGTATACAGGGAAGATTTCCTGTCTCTTTACATGCCCCAGTGTGGACATGGGACATTCATAAGAAATCATAATCCTGGCAGGGATCCAAAAGCATTACTTTCTCTCTGGATATGACCCAGTAACACTTCCTTTAGGATGAAAAGGCAGTTATAGCAAAGACCAAATACCTTGGGGGAAAGGGAACATCAGGAAGGATAATTTATATTACTTTTTTGAAAGCAATCAGCAATTCCGGTGGTTGGGGGATACCAATAGGATGGAATTGTCATAAACAACTACATGTTTATACACTATTGAAAGTGTAATATGTTATAAAATGCTGATTATGAAGTTTCATCATGATTTTGGGGAAGAAATTCCTCAAAAGTTCCAGCACTTGACTGATTGGACTCTTGAGAACAAAGCAGGAATGTGTATAGGTCCTGGGCGTACAGTCCAGAGACATTCTTTACCCTGACCCTACAACGGGGCAGTCCGAGCACGTGAGTAGATAAAGCTAGGTTTTTCAAAACCAAACCAAACAAAACAAAACAAAATGTTTATTATTAAGAGACAGAGCATGAGCATGAGCATGGGAGGGGCAGAGAGAGGAGGAGACACAGAATCCGAAGCAGGCTCCAGGCTCTGAGGTGTCAGCACAGAGCCCGACCTGGGGCTTGAACTCACAAACTGCGAGATCATGACCTGAGCCAAAGTCGGACACTTAACCGACTGAGCCAGCCAGGTGCCCCGATAAAGTTAGGTTTTCTCTGAGAAATCCTTTCTATTGTATCAGCCACACCAATTCTGTAGGATCAGACCTTTTCATAATTCTTCTAGATATCCCTCTGGGCAACTTATGTTAGACACAGATACCTGGTCTTTCTTTTCTTTTCCCTCATCTTTCCTTCCTGTTCCCTTTCCCTTCCCCTTTCCCTCCCCACTTCCTCTCCTTCATTGCCCTCTTCCTTTAGGTATTTCTCTCCCATGACCATTGGAAATCTGTATTCTTTGCTGTTCAGTACTGCCTAATGCTTTCACTCTTACATTTCCCATAGACTGGTGAAAGGAGTCCCAATATTATTTTAACAGTTTCTAAAGCAGTGCTATTAACCTAACTCTCTTAAAATACTGAGGTTTTACAGTTGTGGTCAGGCTTTACTTTTGACTGTCAGTTACCAGTAGTAACTTTTGTCATGATTTAATAAGATCATAGCTTTGGTTCATGGCACCTTATCAAAACCTCCTTTGGCTTTTCTCTTTGCTTAACTTGTAATTTTACTTTCAGCTCACTTCCTAATTCTCCTTTTTACACAATTCATTTTGGTCTTAATTTCTTTACTTTCCATACTTGCTCTACTTTCCAAATCACCTGGGGTGCTGAAATGTGTGTATATATATTTAAAGACTCAACCCATTTGTTCTTGATTATTTCATCAGTTAATGATTTTCTGGGGTCACCAGTTGTCATCCTCCTACCTCTGTTATCAGCATAATATCATTTGGTCTTGCAGTTTCATTTCTTTATTCAGATCCCTCCTGCATGTGACTATATTTTCTGTAGTGTTTTATAGGTACAGTGTACCTATACAGTGTGTAGTGTGTTGCCTCATCTTTCTGTATAAGAAGGCCATAGTAGGTGGTATTAACTCCATTTGTAGATGAGGGAACTGAAGTTCATAAAGGTTGGAAGGAACCATTATGGGGCCATAATGAAGGTCATTTTATTATTATCCTAACAATATATAAATAAAAGTTGTTTAATGTTTAAAACTGCCTGGAGAAGGTTTTTAAAATAGAAAATTTAAAGAGCCAGAGACCCTATTTTTGCTTTTCCCCTTTTCAATTGGTTCTAAAAATTGGAAATTCAGTGAATACTACATTAACGTCATGATTTTTTTCTTTTCTTTTTCCTCTTATTAAAAAAGCTAATTTTATCTCTTGTTAAAGTAAATGGATTATGATGGGAAAGCAAATAAATTTTCACAATAGTGAGTCATAGAGTTTTAGAAAGTAGAATGCAGTAATTAAATGCTGGGCTTTTTTAAGGTATATCAGATTAGCTTGGCTATAGGTACTGGGTTCTTCATTTCTAAAATACTGTCTTGGGATACGGATACAGTTCTTCCTTTATGGTAAACAAAGGGAAGGTAAAGCTATTGGTAAAGGATTTTTTTGTTTTGTTTTGATAACCTGTTTTTCTCCTTCTGAAAGTTTTTGAAGACATCAGATTTTCACTTAAGTTATTAGTCATTGTTTATAATTAAATATTTGTAAAGTTAGTCATTATTAGGGGGATACTAACATAAACATGATTCTGCTTTGAAGGCGTTGTGCGGTCTATAAGTAGAGTACTTAAGATATACTTATTTTACTATAGTATATAAGTAACATGTACTTGAGGCTTAAGGAACGTATCAGAAGTTTGGAATAATTGTCGTGAACAGTGAAAAAGAGCTGACTGGAGACCATTAAAGTATGTCAATAAGTATTGATTTTTTCGGGAGTTTTCTGAGATTAAAAAAAGGTTTTTTTACTTGAAATTTGCTTTAATATACTGTATAATGTAAGAATGTCAGGAGGAGCCAATGTTAGGAAATCTTTTAATACATAATTTCAACTGGTCAAATAAGACTGGATAGATAGATGCAGAAAGACATCTCACGTAATTTACTGTGCATTTCTTGTAATAGATACTCTCTTGGTCATGGTAAGGAAATATCTACTTCAGATCAATAACAATCATTGAATTTAAGAGTAAAATGATGGAAACCTGTTAATAATTACTAAAAGAACACAAATTACTGATGTCAGCATTATTATTTAACTCTTGTTGGATTTTCGACCCAGTACATGTTAAAGAAATTAGAAGAAATAATGGAAAAGGGGAGACAAAATTGTCATCGTTTACTGGTAAGGATCTTTATTAGAGAATTAATAGAGTTCATGAAAGTATAGTGGAGTAGCTAGTTGAATTTTAGTTATATGAAAGATAGCAATATTTCTGTAAATCACTTGTTTCTCAGAGAATATGATGAAAATATTTGGTATTCCCCTTGGCAGAGCAACTAGAAAGTACTTATGTCAGGTGAAAGACAATTTGATAGAATGGAGAGTTTTAAAAAAATGTAAGATATTAGTTATTCCTAAATTAAGATACAGTTTTGATAACAGTTCCGATGACAATATCAGTAGGTTCTAATGTTTTGAAGAATAGGCATCCACACAAACATTAGACATGTGTTCTAAAAATATAGGTTGATAGTGGTGGACTATTGTATAAATGCTTAAACCTCTCATGATTACGTTTATTAGGATAGTGTGATATCCTAAAAATAGGCTGGCTCAGTTGGTGGAGCATGTGACTCTTGATCTTGGGGCCTTGAGTTTGGGCCCCATGCTGGGGGTAGAGTTTATTTAAAAAAAAAAATACGGCTGATAATGATACAGAATAGATTGCCACAAAAGAGACATTTTCAAAGCAATCTGCTCTGTTAACAGTGAATGGAAGGAATTCACTACTCAGAGAAAGAAAAAGAAGACTAGCCCTTTAAACATCAAAATAAATAAATTCCAGATGGATTAAATTAGGGATTGGGCAAATTAGCAGCAGCATGCCAAATCCAGCCTGCTTTCTGTGTTTCTGTTTTGTTTTTGTTTTTTTGCACAGTGTTTTTGTAAATGAAGTTTTATTGGATCATTGCCACATTCATTTCATTTACATATTACCTATGGGTGTTTCTGCTCTACCAGGACAGAGTTGAGTAGTTGTGGTAGTATGGCCTCCAAAATAAAAAATATTTAGTATCTGGCCCTTTGCAGATAAAGTTTGCTGACCTCTGGATGAAAGGACTGTTTTAGAAACAATGAAACCATTTTCTTAGTGTTTTATTTTGGAAGTAGAACTTTATAAGAATCGAAGGAGTCACAAAGGTAAAAACTAGATTTTTGGCATAGAAATGGAAACTTTATAAAAAGTTTTAAAAGTACATATTGAGGAAATGTTGATAACATGCTATACAGGGTTAATATTGTTATATTATAATGCTTTTTTGTAAGTGGATATTACAAAAAGAATTGCAGATTGAAATGAAATAGTGGGGAAAGACTTTTCAATGGCTTTTCACAAATTGCTAGAATAAATCTAATCAGAAGTTTAAAAACAACAACCTGTCATTGTGTATCAAGAACATTTACTGTGTGCCTTTCTACCTAGTAATTTCACTTCAAGAATCCTTTCCTTAGAAGATAATGCTAAGTATGAGAGTATGAATATTCACTTAAGATGTTCATCATGGCATTTCTAATTATACCAAATGTGAGGAAACAAATGGACTGACTGACATTGGGTTATGGTCATATAATCTCATAATGTTATGCAGGGCCATCAAATTGGAGACTGAGGCCAAAGGAAAAATCAGTAATACTGATCCTGTCTTTATTTATTTAAGTTTTGTTATTTTGTTCATGGATTTTGCATTTTTTCATTTTTAAAAATGCCACATTGAAACACTAATTTATCTTGATTACTGAGATTTTTGGTACCTTAACATTGTGCCTGAGGCAAATGCCTCACTCACCCTATCCCAGTCCGATCCCTGTGTAATCTGGTATATCTATTAAATAATACACATCTATCAGTACTTCTCAAACTTGAGTAATGTACCAGATACCTCTTAACCACAAAAAAAGGGGGATATTTTGGAGTTGCCTGAGAATTCCAAGAATAAGAGATCTGCTGGGGTTTCGCAGATTTCAGTGTGATAAGCAATTAATTAAAATAAAAGTTAAATCTGGCACTTAGAGTTTTCACAGTGCAATAATAGAATTGTTAAAGCAAATAACAGCACTGAAAACTTGTAGTATAACTCAGTTATATGTGGTTATTCATGACTAAAAATAAGTTTGCATTCACCAAAAAAGTCATTGAAATAGATGCAGTTTTTAAAAATATTCTCTTAGAATTCTCAGACTCCCTACAGTACATCTGTAGACCTCAGGGATTCTTGGACTCCAACTTAAAAAACACGGACATTTAGCCACTTGAAGTGATTTTGGAGTAAAATGTAATAATATGCAAATGTTTCACTGACTCAAGTGATCAAGAAATCATTTTACTAGAATGATATATTCAGTTTAATTACAACTATGTAGAGAAATAAAATCTCTGACTACAGGAGGGGAAAAGACTGGAAAGAAATATACCAAGAGAAAATGGTGGTTGTTTTGGTGTGATAGAAATATGATTAGAATTTTTCCTTATTTCTGCTTGTCTAAATTTTGTATAGTTTTACAATACAAAATATAGTTTGTGTATTACTTTTATAATAGATAAACAACAACTTAAAATACTGTAATAATAATTGTCAAAAATAATTTAAATATCTGGTAGTGCTACAAGGCTAATTGGGTAGCTTCCTTCATTTTTTTTTTTATTTCTTTCTCAGCATATACAAACCTATTATACCCTTATTGCAATTATAGTTTGCTTGCTATTATTTCTTATTAATGGTAATGTAGTATAAATTCCCCTCCCCACCTTCCCACCCATGTAGCCAAAACAAAACTTATTGAATGTCTGGATTTCTTTAGATATTTTATATTTATTCTTTTCTCTAAGTATTTATTTATTTATTTTCTTTTTTAAAGGAGTATAGTCATGGCCAACAGCAAAAAACTCAAGAAGGGGAACTGAAAATTAGTGCTGTGTTTTCAGTCAGTGGCAGTCCTCTTGGTAAGAAACAGAATTGAGTAAATGAATCATGTTTATTTATTCTGACCAGTATGAGTGAGAGGAAGTATCTACTTGTATTAGTAAGCTAGGCAGTTCTCTGCTCATTTAGAATGGCTGTCATTTATATTGGATAATTAGTTTGGGGTTTCAAGACTGGTTATGGAAGAGGAAGAAAGGATATATACATAAAATTCATGATGAAAAGTAAAACATTTTTCTTTTAATTTTTTTTAAGCTCCACAGTTGACTACTGGCTTTCAGCCTTCACTGGCGTCATCTGGCATGAATAAAATGCTTCCTTCAGTTCCAGCCACAGCTGTTCGAGTTTCCTGTTCTGGTTGTAAAAAAATCCTCCAGAAGGGGCAAACTGCTTACCAGAGGAAGGGGTCGACTCAGCTCTTCTGTTCTACACTGTGCCTCACTGGATATACAGTTCCACCTGCCCGCCCACCACCTCCTCCCACCAAGAAAACTTGTTCAAGTTGCTCAAAGTATAGCAGAATTCTAAATTATCTTCTGTTTCCTTTTAAAACACTTCATTCTTATCTGTGTATTGTTTAGTTTTCTACATTTCCATATTTTTTGGTAATTGCCACAGTATGTTGTTGCTTTCAGTTTTTCTGGATCTTAGGTGCTCAGCTTATTTTAATTATAAATAATGTGCCTTTTATATATTGAGATGTTTTTGAAACCAGCCTTTCCCATCCATGTTAGTTGAGATGCTTCATAAAACAAAAACTACACCACTTAGGTCATATAATACCACAATATTTTATTTGTAGGTAATAGATACTGAAATCCAAAAATATTTAATGTATCCTGTTATCTAATTGGAATTCATTTAATACCTTTCTTATCTTTAAAAGTACTCCAGTGTAGAAAAAAGGACTCCAATATATATTTTTATCTTCTCAATATCTCTGAACTGCCTCAGAGGTACCATTTCAGTGTTTAATATCAAAAGAATATGACCTTAGACCTTGATGAGATCATCCTGATATATTTGAAGAATATGAACTAATTTTGGCTGATTTGGTAAGGTGATTGTTAAAACTGTTTAAATAGGTCAGAAAAAGATGAATAATGCTCTCATTCTGAAACACTTTGGCCTGTTATTAAACTGTTCAAACCATGATTTATTAGTTTAGATATTTGTGTTTATAGTGCCTTACGCGGATCCTTCCCTTTCTCTGGAAAGGGAAAAAAGATGCTCCCTCTTCTGGTTTAAATGGAAAAAGGCATTTTAGAGACTTGAAAGAAATTTGAATGTGGTTAGAAGTCTTTTTGGAAGTTAGTTATGTGGGCTTCCCTTTATGTTTCATGTTTGATTTAGCAAAAATAGATTTCTTTATTTATACTGTTTGAATTATAAAGCATGCTTTTGAAAGTGTTTACCTCTTTTCTATATTCTAGTATATTCATCATCAGATTCTAAGATTAAGTCAACTTGAAAATTATATTTATAGGGGTTTTTTTTCCTGTTTTCTGTTTTGCCATGAGACAATTTCATCTAACTTCCTTTTATGCTTCTTTATTTAATTCTACTTTAGTGATAGGCACTTTCTGAAATTTTGATTCTATTTCTTCTTTCATAATAATAGCCCTAGATAGTTCAGAGATGTTATCAGTGAATTTCAAAATGACCTTAGAAAACTCACAGAAGGGGTTTTTGTTTTTTTGTTTTGTTTTTTATTTATTTTGAGAGAGACAGTGTGAGCAGGGAGAGGCAGAGAGAGAATCCCAAGCAGCGTCTGCACTGTCAGTGGCTAGCCCAGTGCAGGGTGCAAACCCATGAACCAAATCATGAAATCATGACCTAAGCCGAAATCAAGAGTTGGATGCTTAACTGATTGAGCCACCCAGGCATCTCAGAAACCCATAGAAGTTTTAAGATGTGTGCCCTCTTTCTTTGTTTTTAAATTCTTGTGCATACATATTTTTATTTTAGGTCATTTTTACCTACATATCATATCTTACCTATCTTGATCTTATGTAGTTTGGTTATCCTTTAAGATTGCATTTCTCTTTTGTTATGTTTGGTCTTATCCATAAATCTTCCATTTTTTCATCCTGTCATTTCTTGACTCTTAACTGTTCTACCTCTTCATTCACGTATTCTATTATCCTTTTTTGTTTTTTTTTTTTTAAATCCCTCGTTCTTTTCCATTTGCCTCTTACTGTCCTTTCAGGTACTCCTTACCTGCCTGATCTTCTCCATTTTCTTTCTTTTCTCCCCTTCTCATTTTACAGGATATCTTTTCTATTGTTGCTCAGTCCTCAACCACTGATCAGTCTTGTTTTTCCTTGCATTTTGTTTTATTCCTGAACTACTCTTTTATCTCCTTTTTACCACTTAACCATTCCTCCCCTTGTTTTCCTCTTACACAGTCAGACTGCAGAAGTTTAGGATGGTCTGATTTATCTGACTATAATATTGTTGAATTGGATCGTACCTTAAGTATAAGGAAATTGGATTCAAAGAAATTAAAAGAGTTCCTCTGTGTCACATAGCTGGTTAATTTTGGCAAATGCATCGCCTGCCCCTGCCACTCCATATAATCAAACAGGTTTAATTTGTAAGTTAATCCCTTGAAGGAGCCCAAGAAGGATTTCAATTTAATTTGAATGGGTGGAGCTAGAAAAGATTTCCATCCTGATAGCCACTGCTATTTTTATAGACCAGTAGAGATACAGCAGCAGCACTTAGGTTGATTAAAAAAAAAAAAAAAACAAAAAAAAAAACCTCATTAGCTCTTTGAATTACGTTTTAGTTTTCTTAATCTTTTATTAACCATATTTCTTAGCATCTTGAATTTAACCTAAATTCTAAATATATTTTAGCTAATCATCATTTAATTTTCAGGTTTCCTTAGTAATAAGGACCTAATGCTTAGTTTTTAAAAATCTGTTTCAAAATCCTACTTAAAAGAGGTAATTTGGAGGGTAATTTTTTTAATGCTTTTAGATAAAATTACTTGATACAATGATAGAGAAGTAACTATTTTGGGATTGTCTGTATCATTTCTGAATTTTTACTGTTTGGAATCAGATAAAATCTATGATAAGATGTAATGTAGTTGGATGCTAAGCATACTAAGGCGAGTGAGAAATACCTACTTTTATACTCTATTGCTTTGATCAATGCTGCTCCCCAATTCTTATTTCCTTAACCTTCTGGAAACTCCTATTTAAGACATAGCAGAAATAGCCTTTCATGTTACATATTGTCTGAAATAATTGTTTCTTCATTTCTCTTTCTGTTGTGCATTATATTTTTTCATAATTAGTTCACTTTTATATTTTAAGAATGCTTCTGTTATGGCATTTTATGTCATTTGTCTGTCCCAATATAGTGTGAGCGCCTTTAGTGCATGCTTGTACCATATTTTTATACAGGATGTAGCTAGTGGCTGGCTCAATATTAGTGCTCAGTAAATACCCCTATAAATGAAATATATTAAAATCTACTTAAAAAATAACTGTGAAGGCAAAAAAAAAAAAAAAAATGCAGAAACTAGAGGTGCCTGGAGCTACTAAGTATAGAAGATGAGGTATGAAGTTATACATTACAGCATATGAGGTGTTCCTGGTGATGATTCCCATTATGTTTACTATTATCTTTTATTGAATCAGAGATATTTGTCATCTTTTCTAAAAAGTGCTCTATTAGTATAATTTAAGTTGCAAGAATGAATATAATGGCTTATATACTATTATGTGTATGTGTATTCATGAGAGAGACACTATTTGGAAAATTTCATCAAGGCATTGTTTTCCCATTGGCTTTTAAAATGCTTTACACTTAAACTATCTGATAAACTACTATTTAGGAACAGTGGTTTAGGGGTAAGATAAAGGGTGGAGTGGTAGGGAGCCTTAAAAGGTTTTAATATTCATTGCCTTTGCTACTAATGCTTGTAAATTAAATTATTTAGATATGGAAATACTCTATTTTGTATAACCATGCTAGAATATACACTTTGTAGCTTGAAATGTACTTTTATTTTCATTCATTCATTCATTCATTGATTCATTAAAGGTTTTATTGAAATAATCTCTACACCCAACGTGGGTCTTGAACTCACAACCCTGAGATCAAGAGTTGCATGCTGTACTGACTGAGCCAGCCAGGCGGCCCTGTATTTTTACTCTTAAATGATAGTGTTTTGTTTTTTTTCTTTTTTGATTTTTCAAGTGTATGTAAAATTAAAAATAGTTTTAATTATTTTTAAAGAGTACTTTGAAAATATAGAAGAGCCTAAAAAAGAAAATTCCTATCTCTTATAATCCCACCTACTAGAGATAATGAATGAGAACTGTTTGATGTGTAGTCTGTTAGTCTTAAAATATAGTATATTAATCCTCACAACAGTTCTATGAAATAAGTCATGTGTTAGAAGTTCTGTTTTATGGAACAGAACTTAAGGATCAGAGCAATTTATCAGTTTATCCAGGAAAACTGAGGCTTTCTCATTTAAGTAACAGTGCCCTTTCCATACACCTGTAATGGCCTCTGTGTTACTTATTAACTCACAAAAAAGGAAAAATACAAATGATACTGTGGCTTATTTTATCTTTGTTATCATTTTTAGAGACATTTTAAATCCAAAGGATGTGATCAGTGCCCAGTTTGAAAATACCACAGCTAGTAAAGATTTTTGCAGTCAGTCATGTCTGTCAACATACGAACTGAAAAGGAAACCTGTTGTCACCATAAATACGAATAGCATTTCAACCAAATGCAGCATGTGTCAGAAGAATGCTGTTGTAAGTCATCTTTTTACTGTATTGGGGTGTGTGGGGGGGAAATCTAATGTTTGTGCTTAAAACAGATTTTTTTTTTTAATGTTTGTTTCTTTTGAGAGAGAGAGAGGGAGACAGAGAATCTCAATCAGGCTCCGTGCTGTCAGCCCAGAGCCCGATGAGGGGCTTGATCCCTTGAGCTTATGACCTGAGCCAATACCAAGAGTCAGACGTTCAGCCTGTTGAGCCACCCAGGCACCCCAAGAACAGCTTTTGATGGTCTGTGCTTGTGATTTGTTTGTTGTTTTTTAATTCCTAGATTCGACATGAAGTTAATTACCAGAATGTGGTACATAAACTTTGCAGTGATGCCTGCTTCTCTAAGTTTCGCTCTGCCAACAACCTCACCATGAACTGTTGTGAGAACTGTGGGGGCTACTGCTACAGTGGCTCTGGGCAGTGCCACGTGCTTCAGATAGAGGGCCAGTCTAAGAAGTTCTGTAGTTCAGCATGTGTCACGGCGTATAAGCAGGTACATGACTGTATCTAACCCCGATGTCTTTGTTCATTTCAGGAGGACCTACGTTTTTTGGTAGTACTTACTTATGAAAATGCGGCAGAAATACTAAGATCTTATTATTAGCTTAATTGATGTACTTTACATATAAATAGGATTTGTCAAATGAATGTTATTAAAAACCCGGGTATAGAGTTTTGTAAATAGCATATTTCTCTTCATGCATTTGAAATACATGCTTGTGGGCATGACATTTTTATTTCAAATATGATTCATGTTTTTGAATAATATTTTGAAAATACACAAAGAAGAAAAATAATGCATTTCCCAGAGATACCCAGTCTTATCTTTTTGGTGTGTAGCCTTCTTTGAAATATATTTGGTTTGCATATAATATACTTTTTTATTGGACAAGGTAAGGTCCAGGTTACGTACATATTCTTGAATCAGATCCATATAGTTGAAATTGCAATTCAGAAACTGAAAATCTTACCATTAATTTGTTTATAAGGGTTTTTCCTTTTCTTCATGAAATACGAAAAAAATAAATGTAGGTCATATATTATTTTGTGAATAGATGAGGCTTATAGAAGATGAATTGAATGAATTCTGTATGACAAATACAGCTTCGTTTTTACCATATTTGTAATTTGTTAGCAAATTTTGATCAAAAATTAGAATTCATAAATCCAAAGATATGATAATCTTTTTTGTTTATTTTACAATGCCTTTCTTTTGTAGCATGATAGCTGATCATTCTTTTTCTTAAAATAGTGACTTTTTATACAGTCTACCAACATTCATGAATGTAATAATGTCAATTGAGAAATTCCTTTTAAATTCTTAATACTTTGCAGTGATTTTGGAATTTTAAACATTATATGGTGTTTCCTTTTATTTCTTGTTATTATTCAAGTACATTAAAGGGGCTTAGCTTTACTATTTATTCCTTCCTTTAGAAACTCCTTGTTTTTGCTTTCACAGGGGATAAAAAAAGCCAATATCTTCATGAGTTTATCCTTGTTCAAAAGACTGTTTTCATGATAACTGTTTCAAGTACTAAAAGTTACTTGGATTCAGTCCATTCAAAGATGGTTTATATTCCACAAGAGAAGGAGAAATAGGTTGAATCATCTTAATTTTAATTTATTTACTATATTTAATTTAGCCATTACTTATTAAATTTCTCACATAGTGATATGTACTGTGGTATAGAGAAAGAATTTGATTTAGAAGTAAAGCATATCTCAGTTTGATATCTTGATTCTCTATTCAAATAGAATTTTACCTTGGATAAACAGTTAAACTCTCTGGGTTTAACTTTTATCTGTGAATGGGTATTATACTACTACTGTCACTGGGATGTTATTAGGATTATGTGAAGGAAGAATGGGAAAGCACCTAGTATAGAACCTGGCATGTTGAAAATGGTCGTATCTGTTGTTTTGTTTTTTTCCTTATATATAATTCATTCAACAAACATTAGATGCGATTCCTGCTTTGAAGGGCTCCATGTCTCCTGAGAGAGATAGACATAAAACTGAGTAGAGATGCTATGGTGGAAGTATTATGGTGTTCAATGGGGCACAGAGGAAACATGGTCAGTTCTAGTTGGTAGGACAGGATGAGACTATCAGCAAAAACTTCACAGAGATAATGGATGCTGGATATACTTACAAGTTATCTTGAATGTATGATATACTAGTAGTATTTAGTATTACTGGCTGCTGAATCCCTAATTAAAAAAAAATTTTTTTAACGTTTATTTATTTTTGAGAGAGAGAGAGAGACAGTGTTGAGTGGGGGAAAGGCAGAGAGAGAGGGAGACACAGAAGCAGAGGCAGGCTCCAGGCTCTGAGCTGTCAGCACAGTGCCCGACACGGGGCTCGAACTCACGAGCCGTGAGATCATGACCTGAGCTGAAGTCGGACGACGCTCAATTCACTGAGCCACCCAGGCACCCCTGCTGAATCCCTAATTTAGCGCAAACTTAAGATAATAATAGACTGTTCGATTGCTTATATTTGAAAATTTGTGATATCCAAGGTTTGCTCCCACTTTATTGCGTACTTGCTTTATTGCTTTGTGTGCTTTGTTGTTGTTAGTGATAGAATAGTTGGCAGTGACTTTCCTAATAAGTTTATTAATTTTATTGAAATCACATTTTATTGCCACATATAGCACCTTTTGTAGGGGGGTTCTTCTAATTTTTAGCATAGTGTAAGAGCATGAATTCCCTGTTTGTAATTTTTTAAAAATACTATTTTTAAAACTATAGTTACAATCAATGAGTAGATTCCCAAATTAATTGCTAGGTTGTGTTCAGCATTATTTTTTAATGAGATAGAATATAATGGAAAATATAAAAATGCATCACATGTTATCATGATTTATATTGTTTTATGAAACTTTTTTCAGTTTTATATACATGTATACTACACAAACACGAAAGTTCAGAAGTATGTACTGGGTCACTTTGTAAAATTTATTTCTTACTGAGGATTGTAATCATAAAAGTTTGAAAGCCACTAATTTAAAATATTTCAACAGTGTTAAGTATAAACATTTCAAAGAATTATGCTTTTACTTATCATTTGGTAAAAATGAATGTTATTTTATTCTCTTAATAGAAATCAGCCAAAATTACACCATGTGCGCTTTGCAAATCATTGAGATCCTCAGCAGAAATGATTGAAAATACCAATAGCTTGGGAAAGACAGAGCTTTTCTGTTCTGTTAATTGCTTATCTGCTTACAGAGTTAAAATGGTTACTTCTGCAGGTAATACTGGTTTCATAAACTATATAAATATATAATAGTTGACAAAATTATGGTTATTGCTTTTTGTATAGTACAGATTTTTGTCCAGATTTAATTGATTTTTAAGGCAAGTTTAAAATATTTCAGATCTGTGTTGTAAAATATTACCTATTGCCTTGATTGCTTAACTTATGTTTATTTATTTGCTTGCCTATTTGTGCATTCCCCTTTACCAAAAGAATTCCATTTGACTTCTTTAAGGTATTTTTTTTATCCACACCTGATTTATTTCAGGGTTCATTTTGTAGTTTCAGGGTAGATCTACCGTGCCAACTTTACATTAAAAATATTTTTAATGTTAAGTTAGTTTTTGTCTGTATGTGACATGATTTAGTTTCAGTTGCTGCAACTTGACCTGGCCCTTGAATTTCATATATTGGATAATATTTATTTTCTCATACATTTGTATACATTTGTATATATTACTCATTAGTTTTTATTTTGATTTGCTAAGGTGTACAAGTTCAATGTAACAGTTGTAAAACCTCAGCAATCCCTCAGTATCACCTAGCCATGTCAGATGGAAGTATACGCAACTTCTGCAGCTACAGTTGTGTGGTAGCTTTCCAGGTACGGCTTCAGAAATCTTCCTCTCCTGTCAGTGAGTTGCCTACCATAACGTATATAAACTTGTTAGGTGTTTGCTAATGCCTGGATTGCCTGAATTTTTCTCTCAGTCCTATTACACTTGGATTCTTTGATTTTTGATGTGTTTGGAGGCATGTCATTTAACTGCCTCCTGTAAAATTAAATGGTACTGTTACTACCCAGATTATCTATTGGGAGGATGTTATTATTTTATTTTACTTTTATTTTTTGTTAACTTTTTAAAAGCGTATTTATTTATTTTGAGAGAGAGAACGAGCAGGGTAGGGGCAGAGAGAGCGGGAAGAGAGAAAATCCCAAGCAGGCTTTGTGCTGTCAGCACAGAACCCGACACGGGGCTCAAACTCACCCCCATGAGGTCATGACCTGAGCCAAAATCAAGAATCGGATGCTTAACCAACTGAGTCATCCAGGTGCCCCGGGAGGATATTATTTTTATTTTATTTAATTTACCTTTTTTTTTTTTTAAATGTTTATTTATTTTGGGAGAGAGCGAGTGTGTGAGCAGGGGAGGGACTGAGAGAATCCCATGCAGACTCTGCACTGTTATTGTTGAGCCCAGTGCAGGGCTCTATCCCATGAACCATGAGGTCATGCCCTGAGCTGAAACCAAGAGTCGGTCGCTTAACTAACTGAGCCACCCAGGCCATCCCATGGGGATATTATTTTTAAAGGAGATTATTAGTTTGGGGCCTCTGGCTGGCTCAGTCAGTAGACATGCAACTCTTGATCTCAAGGTCCTGAGTTCGAGCTCCATGTTGCATGTAGAGATTACTTAAAAAAAAAAAAAAGTTTAAAAAATTTAAAGAGATCATTAGTTATTTTAGTTTCTGCATATAAATGACACTCTATCCATTCACTTCTAAGCTGTTCAAGGGCACGGAGTGTCGCCTGTTCACAGGTGTATCTTATGTACCTAGAATTGTGCTTGTCAGACTTAGGCACTCGGTGCTCATTTGACTGAACAAATGATTACATTGATTATCTTGTTTTGTTTCATTTTTCAGAATTTGTTCAACAAACCAACAGGAATGAATTCTTCAGTAGTGCCCTTGTCTCAGGGCCAGGTAATTGTAAGCATTCCCACAGGTTCAACAGTGTCAGCAGGTGGGAGTAATACCTCTGCTGTCTCCCCCACCTCCATCAGTAGCTCTGCTGCAGCTGGCCTCCAGCGTCTTGCTGCCCAATCCCAGCACGTTGGGTTTGCACGAAGTGTTGTAAAACTCAAGTGTCAGCACTGTAACCGTCTTTTTGCCACAAAGCCAGAACTTCTTGACTATAAGGTAAAGTATAGGATCCTGATAAAGGGTTTGAGTGTAAAATGGTCTATCTATAAAATCATTTCTAGCTTTTCATCTTTAAAAATTACACTACTTGTTTTAAAATAAGAGGGAATAAAGGATTTCCAAAAGATAAACCAAATGTTTCATTAGTACTTAATGATTATTTCTTTACAGGGTAAAATGTTTCAGTTCTGTGGCAAGAATTGTTCTGATGAATATAAGAAAATAAATAATGTAATGGCAATGTGTGAATATTGTAAAATTGAGAAAATTGTAAAGGAGACTGTGCGATTCTCAGGTGCTGACAAGTCATTCTGTAGTGAAGGTAAAGACAAGATCATCTTACCTACTGATCATGTTGGTCCTCTTAAAAGTAACTGATAATTTAAGCTGTTACTTTGTAAGTTTATCTGTTTTATCCATTGTGTAACAAAGCTTTTTGTTTTGTTTACATTTGGTTTGCTTTTTACTGAGCTAGTCCTTCATATCATATAGATGTTAAAATGAAGGAAAAGATTGTTGAAGTGTATTACAGAAGATGGTGGTGATGTGAAAAACATTTCATGTTTTTAGGTTGATAGGGATTCTTTTAGTTATTGGCGCTTATTTCTAAAGAGAAACTTCTTAGGGGCACCTGAGTGACTCAGTCGGTTAAGTGTCTGACTTTGACTCAGGTCATGATCTCACAGTTTGTGAGTTTGAGCCCCTGCATCAGGCTCTTGGCTGTCAGTGTGGAGCCCGGAGCCTGCTTCGGATTCTGTGTCTCCCTCTGTCTGCCCCTCCCCTTGCTTGTGCGCACCCTCTAAATAAATAAGTAAGCAAGTAAGTAAGTAAATAAATAAGTAAAAGCAAACATTTAAACATAAATAAATAGAACTTCTTACATTTTAGTAGCATCCTAAATTATATTTTTATTGTTTTAAATAGTCATTATATTTCTGAATATAATAGACAAATCAGTATGAGGTAGATTGTCTATTTTGATGACTTTTTTGTATGTTTAAAATGTTTTATTCTAAAACTGTGCATGATTAACCTCCTAGACTATTGGCTTTCAAACCTTTTGACCACAACACAAAAGAAGAAATACATTTTACATTGTGACCCAGTATGTTATCACCTACCCAAGTAAAACAAAGTTTTAGGAAACAAAACTGACTTTTATTATATGTGATGCTCTGTAGTATTTACTATCCTGTCCTATTTTATTTGAAAAAGAAAATGATAGTATAGATTCTATAAATTGATCTCTTGGTCTACTAACTGGTAAGGATCCAACTGTGAAAACATTGTCTTAGAGCATTTAAGTTTAAAGATGTAGGTACTTAATTAATTTTTTTCTAATGTTAATTTTATTTTTCCTGTTTTTAGGTTGCAAATTGCTTTATAAACATGACTTGGCGAAACGCTGGGGAAATCACTGTAAAATGTGCAGTTATTGTTTACAGACATCTCCCAAATTGGTACAGAATAATTTGGGGGGGAAAGTAGAAGAGTTCTGTTGTGAAGAATGCATGTCCAAATATACAGTTCTATTCTATCAGGTAATTAAAATTAATATCCTTGGGGTTTTTCAAATTAAGGCACACATTATTCCCTTCTTTTATTCTTTAAAGTAGCATGAAGGGCAATGTAATGATTTTAAAACTTTTAAGTATTAAATGTATTATGTTGTCCTGCGGTATTAATGTAAGATTTAAGATGACTTTAATGTCACTGAAGTTATGTTCTTTTTGTTTTTAATTTCCTTGTAGAAGACGTATCAGTCTTAAGACATTAAAGAGTTTAAAATTAGCATTTTATCTATTTATTATTTAACTAAAATGAATTTGTCTTCTGAAGTTTTTGAAGAAGATAGGTTTTATTTTCATTTCACTATGTTTTTTAATTACTCTTTATTGGCATCTTTACAATGTGACTTTTTAAAAATTTTTTTTTTTTTTAACGTTTATTTATTTTTGAGACAGAGACAGAGCATGAACGGGGGAGGGTCAGAGAGAGGGAGACACAGAATCTGAAACCGGCTCCAGGCTCTGAGCTGTCAGCACAGAGCCCGACACGGGGCTCGAACTCACGGACCGCGAGATCATGACCTGAGCCGAAGTCAGACGCTTAACCGACTGAGCCACCCAGGCGCCCCTATAATGTGACTTTTAATATGTAGTGTAAATGATTTGAAAAATGATAAATGTTTACCATTTTAGGATGTTTTTCATTTTTATGTTCTAAATTCTAAGTTAATTTCCTCACTTGTTATGTGTGAACTCCTTTTATTCTGTCAGACCAGAGATAATTTGTATTTTACTCTTTTACTATCTTATTTCATTTTTAGATGGCCAAATGTGATGGTTGTAAGCGACAGGGTAAACTCAGTGAGTCCTTGAAATGGCGAGGAGAAATGAAACATTTCTGTAACCTGCTTTGTATCTTGATGTTCTGTAATCAGCAAAGTATGTGTGATCCACCTTCACAAAACAATGCAGGTAAAATTAAACTTTATAGTCTTTGATCAGTGCTAGGGACCAACTACTGTTCTACAGAATGGGAACTTTAAACAGTTGTTAATAATTTCATGAAATGCAAATTTCACTCTGTTCAAATGACATTAACATTTGAATCCCTTTTTGTTTAACAGATTAAATCTTTGTAGAAAGGAGTTCATTTAGTTTTCTCTGAACATTTTGAATTAAATAAACTCTGTAAGAACTATGGGACAGAATGGCAGTTAATATTTTGTAATGGGTATATACACCTTGACTTCCTTAAACAAGGATTTGAGAATGTAACAAAGGACATAGAATATAAATCACATGGCCTTTTTTTTTTTTAATTTTTTTTTTTTAACGTTTATTTATTTTTGAGACCGAGAGAGACAGAGCATGAACGGGGGAGGGGCAGAAAGAGAGGGAGACAGAATCGGAAGCAGGCTCCAGGCTCTGAGCCATCAGCGCAGAGCCCGACATGGGGCTCGAACTCATGGACCGCGAGATCGCGACCCGGGCTGAAGTCGGACGCTTAACCGACTGAACCACCCAGGCGCCCCCACATGGCCTTTTAAATACACCACATGTGTAGTTTTACAAGAGAAAATACATGGAATACTTCTAAGTTTCACTAATTAAAAAATAGGAAAAAAAAACCCCAGTTAATCCTAACGTGATTCTTTGCTCTGACAGAATTTAACTTTACTGAAAGCATTGTTTAACCTCCTTGAGATGTTGGTTTCTATGTATGTGCATATAAATTACATGAGGTCTTTTTATTTTTGTTTATTTAATCAGCAAGTATTTCCATGGTGCCAGCTGCTTCAGCAGGGCCCCCATCTCTAAGAAAAGATTCAACTCCAGTTATAGCCAATGTGGTATCATTAGCCAGTGCTCCTGCTGCTCAGCCCACAGTGAATTCTAACAGTGTCTTACAAGGTATGTCTGATTTGAAAGCATTTATGTAGCCTTTTGAGGTTGAGTACAGGGGTTCTGTCTTTTTTCCATCACTGGTCATTTTCAAATATTTGACACATTTATATTATGAGTGGTGGCTCTCTGTGGGCTGTTGGGCACTAAACAATGTTTTTGTCCCTTTTTCACACGTGATACTTTAGATGCTAGTCTTCCCATGAATTAAGATAATACCTGTTTTTATTTGGAGATTTTGTGTCTGTTATCCCACCATCAGCTTTAAATGCTGCTGTTTATGTTTAAATAATTGTGTAAGATCCTAAATATTTATTTTAATTTATATTAGGTGCAGTTCCAACAGTAACAGCGAAAATCATTGGGGATGTAAGTTTTATTCTTTTAACTGGTATTGCTTGCTACTGTGTTTATTTTCCAGTTTTGTACAGTATGAATATGTCTATGCTAATTTTCCATGCTTTATTCTTTGTTATGTAAAATAATTTTCATAAGCTCATAACCTTTGTTTAGGAATAAGATATTCTGGTTATTTATTGATTGATTCATATTGTGGTTATTTAATTAGGTCTTTAATGTACTTTGATTTCTTTGAATACTTGCTATCTCTGCATAGTTACTGAAGCCTATTTTTGTTGGTTTGTTTTTGTTGTTTTTAATAGTAGATAATAAAATTTTACAGAATTCAGGCATAAAGGTATTTGGGACATTTTGTAATGTAGTCAGATTGTAAATAAAGTATTTATAAAATACAGTTTGTTTCCACCCAGAGCAGATTATCCTTAAGTAAGCATTCTTTTTTTTTCCTCGATAATTTTTGCTTTGTTTCTTAGAAGAAAATTAATTGGAGAAAAATTTACAACTAGAATACTAGCAGTTCTGAAGTGTCCTGGTCTGTTAGATAACTCTCACATCATCTTTTTTTAGGTTACTTAAATGATCATAAGTGTTTATGTTATTTCTAGTTATCTTGAACCTAAGTCTTTTAAGACTCATCTCAGTCAGGAAATAACAGTTCTCATTTTAAACATAGCCAGATTGACCAGCAATGTCTTATAATAGAAATAGCATTTTTCTTGGTAAATAGAATTGGTAATTAGATACATTCAGAGTCAGTATATAGTTATCAAAATATTCTTATATAGCTATTGGTATTTCAGGAATATTGTATTTCTTACATATTCAGTTGAATATTTATGTTCTTTGTCTTCCATGTAATTCCAATATAGTGTTTCTTTTGAAATTATAGTATTTCTTCTAATTAATGATAAGCTTTTGAAACCTCTTTGGTTTCTGATTTTTTTTCTAGGCAAGTACACAAACAGATGCTCTGAAACTGCCACCTTCCCAGCCCCCAAGACTTTTGAAGAATAAAGCTTTATTATGTAAACCTATCACACAGACTAAAGCCACTTCTTGCAAACCACATACCCAAAACAAAGAATGCCAGACAGGTATGTTCCTTGCACTTCCTCTCTCTCCCTCTCTCTCTCTCTCTTTCTCTCTCTCTCTCTCTATATATATATACTCTCTCTCTCTCTCTCTCTCTATATATATATTTATATACATATTTATATATATGTTTTTAGTAT